TTCAATGTCTCTTCAGTAACATGAAGATCATTTTCGTACAGTCAACCTCACTTGAGTTCCAACAGGAAGATACATTAGCAGTGATGCTGGCTGGGGGCTCGATGTGTCAGAAGAGGTCCAAGCCTTCCATGTGCCGTCTCTGTAAATATATCTGAAGGATTAACCCACCTTTCCTCTCTGAAACCATCACGAATCCTTACTTTTTTACTTGAGAATGTGAATCTGTGTTGTATCGTTTCTACAATTATCACAACCAGATGAGACACGGGATAGTTCATAGATGCTCGTGGAAGTATCATGAGTGCTGGACACATCTTCCAGATGGACGGAATGCTGGCTAGCTCTGGAAGCAATCACACTGAATAAAGTTTCCACTTTATGTTCTGCTCAGGAGAAAACCAAAACCCACGGGCATTGTAATTCATTCAAAGGCGAAGAAATGGTCAGGAATGGTTTTGCCTGGTTCCAGGCTTCTGATCCAGGAATGTTTCCTTGGCCCCATCTCCTCTCCTAATTAGACATCGTGGGAGCTGAGAAATGCCATATGGCCTCTAAATAAATAGGCCCTTGTACATGGATTTTTCCCAATTTTTCAGATGTTCCTAACTCTTTCTGGACTCATCACCACTGTATCAATAGAAAAGCTTGAGGGGCCAATTCACTAAATTGGTTGTTGGTCATGAATGATTAGAATAAGTTTTATTACTCTTATATCGTCATCGAGTTCTTTGTTGGAAATTCAGATTTATTTATGCTAAAGTGATAGTTGAATAAAAAAATTAAGTAGGTGTCTATGTTTTGTTTTCCTAGTAATTTATCATATTATAATGGTGATGATTATTTGCAGGATCTTCATCACTCTGCAGCACTTTGGTTTAATTATTTATGGCATTTGTCACAACTCTGTTAGATAATAACATTTAGGCTACGTTCTTTATGTGAACTTAAAAATCTTCTATTTTCAATTGAAATTTGGGGAATGATTTTTTTACATTAAAATACCTTACACATCAAATTTTTCCCTTACACACTTCAGTAGGCCATTATTTAAATTATCTGAAGTTTGGATAAATAAATAAGTTAAAATTACTAAGTAATATGCAAACCACATTTTACTTGCGATTTTCATACACTTTTCCCTAGGTGAAGATTTTAACAACTTGTAAACACCTGAAGGAGAGGAGAAAATGCATTTGTAATAGAAATATATCAACTTCCTCAAATAATTCTGTTCCATAAGTTTTCATTTTACCTCATCTTCTATGCCGGCAACCCTAGTTTATAGTCCATATTCTGGTTTTAAGAAGAATGAATGGATTTAAATTTTCTACCAATTATTTTGGTAGGTTTAGTACTTTATACAAGTAACTTCCTCAGTCTGCTACCTGATTTTAGGATGATTTTAGACTTACAGAGAGCACTAAATCAACCCTTTTTGTAGACACAGAACTGTGGGCTGAACAGAGCAAGGGCCCCATGCTGCCCCTGTGGCTGTGTCCATGTTGGAACCTGACTGCTGTCTTAACACTCAAGTTACCCACAGCCTCAGAAGAGCTGCTCATTTTCAGGAGTCCAAAATTTAAAAACCCAAATTCAGGGGACAAAGAGAAAATTGAGACGATGACTTAAGTTTTTTTAAAAAAGTCACTGCAGGATTTCTCTCAAAGCAAGCATTATGAGATGGTGTTCATGGTGTTTCAGTATCATTAGTTATTTGACAGAGAGGCTGAAAGGCGGGGAAAATGAAGAATCAAATAAGAGGAGTATCTTGATATTACATATGAATCAGAAATTCACATGGTATACAGGTCAATATGAAATAATTTGATTACTCAAATTGAGATTTACAGATCTGTTGCATAATTCAATGAACAATGCTTATGCCTACCAAAAGTAAACATATATCAGTGAGTAGAGTGAGGGGAAATGTGGCTCCAAATTATTGTGACAGATGACCTGAAATAGAGGAGATTCTGTCCAGTTAGAAGACCCTCTGTGTTATTTTAGTTATACCAGGCAGTATATAAATCACAGCAACAAATCAGTCGACTCCCTGACACTAAATGAGCATGAAAGCCCCTGACACCTTCACTGCAGACGACTGGAGACCTCCCAGGACCCGCAGAGGCCTCCCTCTTACTCCCTCCACACAAGCCCTAACACACACACACACATTTTTGGCTTTTTACCTAGTCTGCATGTCCCACTATAACTATCTTTTTCTTAGGTCCACACAGAATTATCTCATCTTGCAAATCCTTATCCCTATGAATCTTCAAAATGTATTAAATTATGTGCTATATGTTTGCTTTCTGTAAATCCTTTAAAATTAATTTATACTTTGTGGTCTTATACTGTACATTATAAACAGATGTCACGTGTCATTGATTAAATATATTGTTTATGATCATTTTGATAAAAAAAATCAACTTTGGATGCTAGGCCCTTGTTAAGAAATAAAATACCCATTGCAAATTTTCTTCTATTGGAAAATATATGATTTGACTTTATTTTTAATCACAATCAATTCCAGATAAATAAAAGTTTGGGGACATCTGTATGAAATACTAGTTGAGCTACCGTTGGGAAGGGAATACAAAGAAGTAGCTGTCCCTGGAACCTAAATGTGAATTTCTGGCAGAACAAAAAATATTATTATAATGAGGCAATAATAAAATTAGGAAATTAAATTATTTTAAAATCTGTCTGTGTGATTTTTTTCCCCTTGGGAATACATGAAATACATAGTTCCAGAATTACCTTCTTCTGATCATACTTTCCATATCTCAGCCCTTAATAGATGAAACTTATTAATGTCTTACTCATAATTCTAGGAAATTCACAAATTATATCACTACAAGGAGGGTCATTTATAGCCATGCGATATTAAAATTTCCTCCATCACTTAAAAAAAGGTAAAGTAGTCCAAGAATACTACTTTATACCACTACTTGGCATGATTGAGACCTTGAACATCTAAATTGATGGTTTTTACTCATGAGTTATTTAATATTGTTGGCACTGTAACCAGATGATTTCCTTACATTTTTGTTATCATGTGATGAACTGTAACTATGTAATTAAGCAGAATTCTGACCATCACGTTCTGCTAACCTTTAAAATGTCACTTATTCCTCCACTTACTGGCTTGCTATTTTCAAATTAAAGTAAAAGAAGGCCCTTTATTAAATGTAAGTTTAATGAGAATTTGTTACATATTTCCAGTGTTTTCCTAACCCTGTCGTAATAGAATATAATTTTTATTAGGTTGACTCTGGTTCAGTGGAATCATAGAATGTTAATGTTGAAAATGACATTGGTGATCGACACTTCTAGTGAAGTGATATCCAGAGTGACTTTCACAGTGTCTCACAACCAGAAAACAGCTTTTCCTCCAGCACTATGCTCCTCCTCTAATAACCAAAGAAGAGGATTGAAAATGAACATTGGGTAGCTGAAGATTTAGCATCCAATGTGAAATGCAGTCAATACCAATGACTTCACTATTGTCCATCCCATGACATAGAACCCTATGTCCCTTGGATTTAGACCTTCATGGAAATGCCTACAGACTGTTTCTCAAACCAAATCTTTAAATATTTACTGGGCATTTCTTGTTAGTTCACTGAATTATTTTGTGCAAACCTGTACATGAGACAATTTTGCACTCACCATCACTGCCTACACACGTGGGAAGTACAGAGACCTGTCCTACATATCTTGCACTCTTCTGAGTATTTGCAAACTTGGGTGATAAGGTAGCCTAAAGAAAATAAATAACTATTTCCAAATTCAATTTTTAAAAAACATTAATTGAATCTTCTAAGAGCTGGGAATTCAAAAGTGAGGAAGATTTAGATCCTCCTTTAAAGAACTCGCCATTTAAGGAAAAGTAGGCATTTCAAGTCATGAGCAGGTACATTCAGTCTAGTGCTGTTCGGCCAGTGTCCCCTGACTTAGTAAATTCCTTTCTTGTTCCAATATCCATTAAAAGATATTTTACGCAGCCTGCTATTTTTGAAGTTGATAGCTCTTTAACAAATACAATTCTATTTCAGAGACCTAAATAGATAGAGCTTGGAATCTAAAACAATAAATATTCTCACTTACCCTTCATGAAACTAACCCTTAAGATAAATTAATATTCAATACATGGAACCAAGGAAACATTTTCCTGTGACTCGCATTTCACACCATTTTAAGCAGAATCCAAAAAAAGTCATGAAATCTGGTGCTTCAGACTGTTCTGTGCTGGGTGGGTATTACTGACAGCTCCTCTGACTTACTGGTTGCTGACTGAGTAGGCTTAACACATTATTGTCTTCTTGTGGCCCAAGATGGAATGTCTCCTTAACTACCTTTTGCTTCCTTTTGGACTAAAAGTTTGATGAGGCCTGATGTTGATCTGAGCAGCCAGGGAAACTGAGTTTGACTGTAAGTTCTCACACTAAACCTCAGACTGTATTTGTGCTCAGTTTTCATACACTGTAAGTATTTTTGTCAGGTGGATCGATGGCCCATGAAAGTGGCCCAAAAATCAGTATAGAGCAGAGAGTCAGAGGGGTAGGAGTCCAGTGTCAGGCCACCCCAGGGAAGCATCACAAGATCAGGACAAAGAAACAGGTC